ATCAAACACCCTCGTATCAGAATGATCGGTTATAATGACCGACGAAAAGGCGCGAGAAGTTGCAATTGTGCTTTCACAAAATCTGATTTCATTCCATATAGGGCGTCGCGCTTCGGCGCGGACGCCATTAATAACTTGACAGTAAAACCACAGAGGAGTTCTTGTCCTAGGCTGCGTATACAATGACCATGAGCACCTCCATGGCTCCTGAATTTACAAGTTTACATTGTTATGTCTAAGTTTGAACATGACGAAAAAGGTGCAAAACTCATCAATTCATCGCAAGGAAAAACTATGCCGGAGTAGTCAACTTACTGACTTTTAATCACCACTACGGCTGGAATAATTGAGGGACTGAACATACTGACTGCATAGCGAACAGTGTTGACCTGATCAGCGGCACAAATGGTCAGAGACTTCACAGCTCTTCCGGCGGTTCTTGGTTTCCACTGGTTGCATGGGTAGAATCTGTAGCCGCCAGGTGTCTTAAGTATAGCTAGTCCGCTATTGAAACAAATATATTCAAATTCGCGATGCAATGTACTTTATTATATGATCTAATTATAGCTCATTGGTCCAAACAGTAGTCAAATCATATGCACTGGCTGAATTGGAAAACAGATTGAGACTCATACTCAATGACCTTATATCGTAGAATGTTAATAACGCCTCGATCGATATCTCATCTGCCAGTGAACAACACATCATATTCAATGGCACACTAGTCAATAATTGCATAATATTAAAAATACTTGTTTTTCTTGCAATCTCATTCGATAGTCTTATATTTTCATCTAATAAGGAGGCAAACATGTGAATGTTTCGGACTACCTACTCTGCCGACCAACAAGAAGGTTGAAATTTGAAAATAGTCGATCAAATTCCTTAACTTTTTGACCTACTCTCCCGACAAATGAAAAGGGAAAAAAACTATCTGTCTCTATGTTTCTCTAAGTCTTAAACCTGGCTTTGTTTCCCTTGAGAGGCGAGATTTTGAAAGAGAAAACAAGTCTTAACCTTTTTACATCCGTTATCGTGTAGTTCAACAGGACGGCTTAAATTAAACATTTTGCTGATTCTTTGACACATTTTGTTTTTGTTTTATCCAATGTGAAGTCAATCATTATACTTTACGGGTTGTTCATTTTCGATAAATCTTCAGATTAAGTAACATACAGCACACTTTGATCAGAAGAGGGATGTGTCATTTAGGCCAAATGGAAAATGTTGAAATCAGAGACTTCATTAAGTAGTTCTGTAAGAAAGGGATGTCCCCCGAAGTCTTCATGAATACACTTGGGAAGGAGTCGCCTTCCTATAGCACTTTGAACAAGCAATTATCATAGTATTGCAAGCAATCCATAAGTCCCCTACCGGTAAGAGCCCAAGCAACATTCTGAAGGGCCATTGGCCATTCACTTATGTTTCTATTTTAAGTGAATTTGTTGAAAAAGTTCTTTAAAAGTGATCACAGTGAACAGACAGACAGACGGACTGAAGGACACTCTAAAGTTATTTTTTAAACATCCCTGTTATCAAAATATAACATTTTAAAAGCAAAATTTAAAAAAAAAGGAGATAACGATGTCATACATGATGTGAGTGTAACAAAGAACAATTAGTAATGAAGGTATGAATATTGAATATTTATTTTGAAATTGAAGTAAATGAAAGTTAAAAGAACAAATAGGAAAAATTAAAAGTTTAAGGAGGAGATAATTCTGGAAATATGGATGCTAGATTTATAAACCTTGTCATATTATAATGATGTGGGAGTTTGAAGAATATTCTATCATGATTGAAGAAGTTGGAGTAAAAATTACCAATTTCTCAAAAAAAAGTCTAAGTTCAAAAGGGGCATAATTCTGGAAATAGTCTTGCTAGAGTATTGAACACTCACAAATGTTGAGTGATAATAAGAAACATTTATATGAAGTTTGAAGTAGACACGTTCAGAAAAAAAGAAGAAGAAAACAATGTTTTTTTCATGAAAATTTTAAGTTCAAGGGAGGTAATTCTGATAAATTTTGTGCTAGAGTTGTAAACTTTGTCACATATGATGTGGTTGATGACTAGCAACTTATTTTTAAAGTTTGAAGAAAATACCTTAAGAAGTAAAGAACTTATAGTGAAAAAACTTAAAAACTAGAATCAGAAATCTTGAAATTCAGGCTATTTGTTGCCATAGCAACCAGAATTTTCAACACAGGAAGATAAGAAAAGGATGTGCATAATTTCCATACTGCCATCTACCCATATGTCAAGTTTCATAAAAATATTTTCAATACTTTTTGCGTTATCACTGGATCCAGGTTATGTGTAAAATCTGCCATATTTTCAGTCTATTTGTTGCCATAGCAACCAGAATTTTCAGCATAGGAAAAAAAGAAAAAGACGTGCATAATCTCCATACTGCCATCCATCCATATATCAAGTTTCATAAAAAAAAATTCAGTACTTTTTGCATTATCGCGGGATCCAGGTTATGTGTAAAATTTGCCATATTTTCAGTCTATTTGTTGCCATAGCAACCAGAATTTTCAACATAGGAAGAAAAGAAAAAGACGTGCATAATCTCCATACTGCCATCTATCCATATACCAAGTTTCATTAAAATATTTTCAGTACTTTTTGTGTTATCGCGGGATCCAGTTTTGTGGACGGACGGACTGACGGACGGACAGACGGACGGACAGACGGACGGACAGACGGACGGAGGGTAAACCTAAAGTCCCCTCCGGTAAACCGGTAGGGGACTAAAAATGGGCTGCTGAATTTAAAAGGGACCGAGAGAGCATTGGAGATGATGAGCAGCCTGGGCGGCCAAAAGAGGCCACCAACTATGAATCTGCCGAAGCTGTGCACAATGTGGTCATGTGCGACAGAAGGTGAGAGCTGCGAAACATTGCTAGGGAAGTGAGTTTAAGCTTTGGTTCAGTTCAGGCAGTTCTGACTGATGCCTATGGCATGTCAAAGGTTTCCGCTAGATGGGTCCCCAGACAGTTGACTGACGACCAGAAACGGTTCAGGCTTGACATTTCAAGATTATCTTTTGTCCCGCTACGAGGCTGAACCTGATCTTATCTACAGGATCGTAACTCAGGATGAAACATAGGTCCATCAATTCGATCCAGAAACCAAAAACCAGAGCATGCAGTGGAAGCACCTTGGCTCACCCACTCCGAAGAAATTCAAAAGGGTGCCATCAGCATAGAAGATGATGGCTTCAATATTTTGGAGATAGTAAGGGGATAATCATGATTGACTATTTTGGCAAGGTCGTACCATAAACGATACGTACTTTGCAGACGGAATGAGGTTTCTGTGTCAAGAAATCGCGCGTAAAAAGAGGCGCAAACTGACTCAATGCGTTCGTTCTGCTCCTGCACGACAATGCGCCTGCTCACACATCCCAAGTTGTGATGGCAGCTGTAATTGGCTGCGGCTTTGAAATACTGCCCCGTCCCCCATATTATCAGGACTTGGTCCCCTCTGCCTTCTTCCTGTTTCCTAAACTGAAAACCAAGCTTCATGGTAGACGTTTTGGAAGCAATAAAGGTGTCATGGAGGCGGTCAATGAGTTTTTTTGAGGACAAAAATAGAGAGTTTTATTTTGAATGGTTAAACAAGTTGGAGCACAGGATGGGCATAGTGCAATGATGTAGAGGGCAATTATATTATAAAGTAAGACCGTTAGTTTGGTCCGCTGACTACCGGAAGTACATCGGACCAAGAACTTTTTTATTAATCCTCGTAAGTAAACTTACTTTCCTAATTGAAAATATAAAACAAACGACATCGGGTAGTCGATTTATTTGATTTAAGTCTGAACGAGTAACTTGTTTGCAAATTTTCAATTTCAAGTTTGCAATCATTCCCTCACACTTCCTATTCCGGAATATTTTTTATAGTGAAAATTGACATCAAAATGTAAAGTATTTCAACGCTGTTCACTCAAGTAAGACTAAGAACTACTCTAACTATCGATTCTAAATAAATCTGAGTATACTTATTACTATCCTTTTGCACTTTTTTCAATGTTAATTGTTTCACTTGATGTATGTATCAATTTAAAATTTAATGTTTTAAAACTTTTCACCGCTGTGAAGTTCTTTCAAGGCGATATCGTTTACACTTACAATTATTCTTATACACAGTACAGCTAGTTAACTTATAATAATTATAAATTCTAAAGCCTCCAAAATTGCGCAAAATTGTTTATATTAAAATGTTAACTTTAACATAATCAGTAAACCAAAGCACGCGCATAGCGACGGTATTACGTAAAACTCGTTCATTAAAATGTTATTTGACACTCACAAGGTCTAAAGTTTTAAGTAAACTATGGCTTTGACAGGGTTGAATGCTGATCGCATCTCTTTTAAATATTTTTTGCTGCTCAATAATAATTTCATTGTGGAGAGACATATTTGCTGTTACATATGCTAACCCTTTTAGAATTGAAGATTAGATAACTATAATCATGGTTAAATGAGGCATGAACTTAAATATTAATCAAGTACAATTAATATCATACGATGCTTAGATAATTAATTCAAATGTCAAAATGTACAGTCATGCTTTAGTTCCATTTATAAATAAATGCAAAATAATTCGACACCTAAGTGCAGTTCAGGGTTAAACGTAATATCATTATTTTGGTATTTTTATTATGCCATCTAACCATATCTATATTTTATATTTAAATTTAAAATTCTATTTTTTTGTTTGGTCGTGTACAGTAGGAGCAATTGTAAAGACTGCAACTATTTTTCACGGACGTGCAACGGTTTGAGTATTTCAAGGATACAGATATTTGTTCAAATATTTGATCTGTAAGAGTTATTCAAGGGTTTGCTTTTGCTGCAAAATGGATGACTAGACTGAATTACTCCGGGAATTCATATCGAAACTACCCATCGCGCCTATGAATCTTTGATCTTTGAACATCGGTGCGCAGTAAGGTATAAGAGGGCTGATAAGACTTCATTATATCAAAAAAAAATTTTTTTTGGTATGTTGTTTATGTTTCAAAAAGGACATTGTATAACCTTTACACTTTTTTGATTTTATTTTTTTTGGTTTGTTTGTTTTTCAAAACAAAAAGCAATATTAAGAAATGAAGAGGGATAAAACTTTATTGGGAAATTTGACTCTTAGAAATTATAAACTTATCATGCGGAGGAATACTCAGACAAAAGTTGCGTTTGGATTCTTTTGTGCCTGTTTCATCATTAATTTATACGTTCTTCAAGAAGACAAAGGACGAGGTAAAACTTGCTTTCTAGCTTTTTTGTAAAAGGGGCATCAAATGTTATTATGTTATCTTGTGTGAATGATAATAAAATTAAATATAAAATTATGTATTAACTAACACACATTCAAAAAGAAAAATATAACCTTTCCCTGAAATAAAAAAAATGCACAAAATCATGACATTTTCATTCAGCGAAGCCAATGCTTGATCCTGGGTATTTCGAAATATCCGGTGGAGATGTCACAAAGAACACGAAAATGCTTATGTTTATTTTAATGTGATCCGCCGGCACATAATTATCGTAGCATCAGCGGGAATATATGGACATAACTTTCATTTATTTCACGACGTTTACGTGCAGTACATCGTTTATAAAAGGAATTAATATCTTGTATTTTCAGTTCGGTTTTAAATTGTGAAAAGTAAAAGAAGTTATTATATTTATTATACATATCTCTTATCATTGTCAGATGCTATTTTCTAAATTGACGAAACCGTTGGAAAGGCAGTGCGTTATTGCCAAAAAACTAGGGAATCAGTGAGGTTTATATTATGTCCTGAAAATTTGACTTCGTAAAAACAAAGCAATACTGTCCAAGGTCGGAATTAAACGTAGGAAATTTATCTGGCGTGGATTTTTTTCATAAAATATTTTGATCGACGTTTAACTAGATCTTTCTATGTCTTTCTTGTACAGTATTTTAACACCATGTTTAGTTCAGATATAAATCTCTATTTTTATTTTCTTTCTTATGACCATCTCTTATATTTTGTTATGAAGGGACATTGCATCTATTTAATATATTTTGTTTAAAACAATTTATTTAGAAATGTTATGTTTTATCATGTATATACAATGATGAGATGAAGAAAAATAAACAATTTACACCGTTGTCTGCCAAATTCTTAAAATACAACAAACTATAAAATGTAGGTTTAGAAAATACATTAATCATCGCATTGAACTTGTTGTTGACATTGTGTTTAAATTGTACAAAGAGCTAGTTTACCTAAATTGATGTCCTGTTTACAATGTATTGACAAGACGTTTCGATGTTTTTAAGACATTCACCCTTGAATGTAACCAACAATCATATTTTTCAACAAATAAACGATACAATTAAAAAATTGGCAGTAAACCTGATCGAATTTATCATACTTAACACACTTTAATTTGAAAACATGCTTTTAGAATTACTCGACTTAATTCATAGTACGTATATAGTTAAGTTAAAAAAGAAAATTGTTATGTATATTATTTACAAAATTGTAATTGAAATGCAAGTATTTACTTATCAAATAAAAATACGTTTCCAAAAAAATAAAAACTTACCGAAACTTGTTTATATGTACAAGTAAATGTAAATCAAATGCAGAACTTTGAGCTTGTTATATTTGATATTGCAGTTTTAGTTCCGGATTTGGTCAACACAGAAGAGTATCCACCATTTGAACCGGAAGTGCACGAGGACTTTCCAATCGGTTCGGAGTTGGAGCCTCGAATTCCTCATATACTTCACCAGACATACAAAGGGAATTACATACCACATACCTATGCTACAAACATCAAAAGTTTCCTAAAGGATAATCCCGAATGGAAATATTTCTTATGGACAGAGCAATCAGCCTGGAAGTTTATTATCGAGCGGTATCCATCTTTGCTAGGAACTTTGAAATTACAAATGAAATTTAAAGACCTGTGTGAAATACTACGTTATGTAGTGCTTTATGAGTTTGGTGGTGTTTATGCAGATATGTCTGTAAAATGGTTACGGCCTATTCAAAAGTTGACTCTTAAATACGCATGTATCTTTGCACCTTTACCGTTCGAAGGAGTGTCTCTAGTTAATAAACGACCCTACTTACTGAACTATAATCAATTCTTTTGTCGAGCAAAGCATCCCTTTTTAAAACAGATTATTCTTGATATACCATTGTTTCAACCAATGATTGAAAAAGATGACGTTATAGGTCCACATTTTTTGACAAGTCAATTCATGAAATATAATAAACTGAAGTATTACGTGCCATATTCCATGTACAATAATACGAAAATCAATTCTTATTTACATGCAAGCAAACTTCCGGAAATTCACGAAGATTACGTTTTTGTCCCGAATTCAAATTATTTTTCTTTTGAGCTAGACTATCTTTTTAATTTATGCAATGACTTTATGAACCTTTCGTTCTTAGAAAGGAGAGGGTGTGTCGTTCTCCAGAAAAGGCGTGGCATAAATAAATTTGCTTTTACGTATACACGCGGGAAAAGGCCAATCTACGAGTCAGTTTTAAACTTCCTGTTTAGGACTGAAATATCAAATTTAGTTGGAGATCGTTTGGAAATATATTGATTGATTAAACTGTTACGTTGTTATATTTTCTCCTCTCATACTACAATGAGCAGCAATATATTGGAAATTTGTTAAAGCTGCATGCGTGATTCAAATTAATTTTCTTGGCACTTTTGAAAATGTATAACAAAGTTAAATACCGTCAAGTAAACAAAGAAAGCTATTTACAATCCATCCACGTTATTTAAAAACAGGTCAAAATATGCAAAAGAAAGTCCTTACTGCGTTAGCACGCATTAGAAATCTGATAAAATTCACATGCAGTCATAAATCGCAAATAATATGTAAATACTTGAATCTTGATTTTTTACCTTTTTAGTGTTTGAAATTATTTTTGTCCAATGTGGATTCACTTTAAAAATTTCAAGGGGAAACGCATAAAATGGTGATTTATCGACATTCAAAACCCAGGGTATAAAAACCAAAATATTTCTACATTCAGGCCTAAACCTGTATGGAGTACAATCATCTATTTTATGGTTTTCAAATAGTTTAAGTCAATACCAATACATGTTCTCAATTACGTCATTCGTGTAAATTTAAGTCTGAGTACTTAATATTTGTGCGAGGTTAAGCTCACATTTTAACCTCTATATCTACAATGAATTATGATATGTTCCGAAAATTATAACTTGCATTAAAGGAACTCCACTAAAGATCCAAAAGCTTTAAAACATTAAATTTGAATTTCAGATCAACTGGAACACTTAAGAACAGAAAAAAATGTCAAAAGATACATAATAAATATACTCAGAATAAACCAAACATCGTATTTTTGTGCTAGAGCTATTTTAACCCGATTTGAGTGACAACTCTTTTCAATTTTGGGGCATTGTTCACAATTAGGACAATCATTCTACACAGAGTGAGCGAATGATCTAAAATTTTGAACACAAATTATTGATCAACACTTACAACAAATGGAACATTAACCTCGATAAATTATTCCGAGTCTTGTCATATAAAAAAACTCAGTGGAGTCCCTTTAAGGCATATAATATCTCAGAAAATTAATTATTCAAATGTACTGTTTTCATTCTAAAGAAAAGGCAAACATGTGTTATGCTGTAATTTAATGGATTTAGAACGCGAGTTGCACATCACCTGAAGAAGGAAGCTTTGAATTTGTATTTATTTATGATAAAGGTATCAAAAGTGGTATTTTTGTCTTAATACAAAATACTAAATCGCTTAAGTTTACTTATTTGCAAAACACCAAAAGAAACACAAATTTTGAAACGTTTTGGAAATTGTAACCGGGCACCTAAAGAAAACAAAATCTTTTCTTTTTTTTTCTTTTTTAAATATAGCATTTTCTCTGCTCAATGGACTTTTAAGACCAATTTTTTGCAAATATCCTAAACGTGTTATTTAAAATAATTCCAGCGTATAGTTTTTTAGTGTATAACTATTACAGTAATTCTCGAGTTGTGAAACGATTACGGAACACTGTATTATATAGGAATTCATGCGAAACTATCATAACTATTTGGTGTGCATTGTGATATATTGAAGTATTTGATATCGTATGTCACCATTTCTTCGTCAAACAAACAACAACAACAACAAATACAACAACAACAGGAACAACAACAACAACAGCATCAAACCCAACAGCAGTTACTTTTGAGAAAAATATAACCTGTCATTTTTAACGATATTTGGATTTGTCGGATTTTGTATTAAAAAGGGAATGAGATATAAAGGAGTGAAGCGGTATAAAGGTTCATTAGGAAGTTTAATTCCTAGATTTTGTAATTTTATTCTACGGAGGAACTCTCTAGCAATAACTGCGTTTGGATTTGTGTGCGTTTGTTTAATAATTAATTTAAATGTACTTCAGGATAACCAAGGACAAGGTAAAATCTTATTTTATTTTTTTGTAACAGTGGTATAAAGTTTTCTTATTATGTAGACTTTTGTGGCGTGTAGCTTTTGAGTTAAGGTATGACCACCCTGATGCATTAACTCTGCTTTGAAGAGTATTTAAGTGGGCTACAAATTCTGTCAAATAGATTGAACATGAGGGTCGTAAGTTCAAACCCTGTAGTGTCAACTTTTTTTTTTTTTTGTTATTCCTTTTTGCATTATTTCTTTATCATTCAGATCCGTTTAAAAAAAGAGTTTAAATTTAATCATATAATTATTATATCGGTATATATTAGCTTAATAATGCAAGATCCAGTTATGAATTAAGTACCTGATATTTTAGCCTATAAAAATAAAAACTTCACTGTAAAAATTTTTTTTTAAATTCGACCAGTATACTTCAAAGAAAATTTGATTTTTTTTAAAAAGAGCCCTTCAATTGGTTAAATTTCAGTAAAGCACAAGTAATAGTATTTTCTCTCTAAGGCTCTCTAAGCAGAAAAATGGTCAAACATGTGTTCAAAATGCATGGGGTAAGGTAACAATTTTAAACATTTTGAAAAGAAAGAATATTATGCTTCAGACTTTTGTAACATGAATGTTACTTGAGCCGCGTCACGACAAAACCAACATAATGGGTTTGCGACCAGCATGGATCCAGACCAGTGTGCGCATCGGCGCAGTCTGATCAGGATCCATGCTGTTCGCTTACAGACCCTATGACAAGTAAAGAAACTTTTCTGGATCCATGCTGATCGCAAACCCATTATGTTGGTTTTGTCGTGACGCGGCTCATTTGTTGTTCTAAATAATGATCAATAGGAAAACATTTTTTCTTTAGGAAAATACTATAGATTATTTAAAGTTTCCCTATTTCTTAAAAAGAGCCCTTTTACTAAGAAAAGTATCCATAACTCGTAAACCGTACGTACATTTTACATACAGGTGTCTTTTAAGACAAATAATAACTGACCTTTGTAGTGTAGTCAATTCTTAAGTTCCGTATAGTACCCATTACGGTGGTCAAACCATAATGAAATTTAAAACCTGCTTTGCATTACACTATACGTTTTAAAAACTCATAGGGTCTTATCTAATCTCAAAAGGCGATTTTAACAACCAAACACAAAGAAGACACAATTAAGAAATAAATTGTATCATTGTTTGGGGACCTTTCTGTTGAAAATGTCTCAGAGTTAAATCGTATACAGTTCATTAACTAGAGTGCAAGTATTAGTTAACTGCACTCCTGAGCATGCACATGAATTGGCTCATTTTTTCTGGGCTAACTTATACCTGCACTCTAGTTAACGCACTGTGCGTGTATATGTTTACGATTTAACGCTTAGACATTTTCAACAGATAGGGCCCCAAACTATGTATTTATTGTGTAATACTACATCTTTCAGTTGCAAATGAAAAGACAATACTTTCTTTAGTCTTTTAACATCGTCAGATCAAAAAATGATTTTAAATTCATGACCCCTTGGAGAGACTTACTCCACAGAAGCCAATAGCAATCGTTACACGCTCTGCTAAATGTCTAGCTATCGCACACTGTGAAAAACAAGGTTTATTAAATGAGTGTATCATCAATATGAACTAGCTTTTAACATTGCGTATAAATTAGATTTATATAAAGACATTGATATCGAAATAGCTGTATTGTTTACCGTGTATTGACTTGCAATCATGCTCACAAACAAAGTCTCGCTAGACGTATGTTCTATTATGCGCATGTGCGATTCAACTCAGTGGTGTTGAGCAAATTTGATCAACATATACCAACCTTTTTGTAATCAAGAAAATTTCAGAGCTTAATTCATTCGGATCCGCATTGAATTTACCAGAGCACAGTTCAGCCTTTGCAACGTTCTGACCTTTTAAATTATTCGACTCTCTTATTAGAAGTTACATTTGAAAAGGGAGCATTGAAATGTATTATACATAGAACAAAATTGAAAAGGAAATGTAACTATCTATATTAATCAAACAAAAATAAGTTTCAAAAGTCCATATCGAAACTTCTTCATATATACATGTATATCATATGCAGAACTTTGAGCTGGTTATATTTGAAATTGCAGTTTTAGTTCCGGATTTGGTCAACACAGAAGAGTATCCACCATTTGAACCAGACCTGCACGAGGACTTTCCAACCGGTTCGGAGTTTGAGCCCCGAATTCCTCATATACTTCACCAGACATACAAAGGGAATTACATACCGCATACCTATGCTACAAACATCAAAAGTTTCCTAAAGGATAATCCCGACTGGAAATATTTCTTATGGACAGAGCAATCAGCCTGGAAGTTAATTATCGAGCGGTATCCATCTTTGCTAGGCACTTTGACCTTACGGATGAAATTTAAAGACCTATGCCAATTTCTTCGTTATGTCGTTCTTTATGAGTTTGGTGGTGTTTATGCAGATATGTCTGTCAAATGGTTACGGCCTATTCAAAAGTTGACTTTTAAATACTCATGTATCTTTACACCTTTACCGTTTGAAAGGGCCTCTCTTGGTTTTAAAAAACTTTACTTGCTAAATAATGACTTGATACTTTGTAGAGCAAAACATCCGTTTTTAAAACAAATCATTGATGATATACCATTATATCAGCCAATGCTTGAAATCGAAGACTCTAATGGTCCACATTTTTTGATAAGTCAATTTATGAAATATAATAAAGAGAAATATTACATGCCACAATTCAGATACAATAAAACAACAAGCAGTTTTCCTATATACTTCAAAAGCATACTTCCTGAAATTCACCAAGATTCAGTTTTTGTCCCGAATTCGAAATATTTTCATTTTGATCTGGACTCATTTTTTAATTTATGCAATGATTTTATGTATCTTTCGTTCTTAGAGAGGAGAGGGTGTGTCGTTCTCCAAAAAAGGCGTGGCATAAATAAATTTGCATTTACGTTTACACATGTGAAAAGGACAATTTACGAGACAGTTTTAAACTTCCTATTTAGGACTGAAATATCAAATTTAGTTGGTGAACATTTGGAAATGTTTTGATCGTCTAAAGAAATTTATATCTTTGCAAATACTGGAAATGCATCAAATTAATGCTTTTGTTAACTTTTGAAATATTGTTAGCATGAATGAATGTTTATGTCGACAAGCAAACACATGTAAAATACCAGCTTATAAACTTGAGAACATAGACTTCTATTTTTTCTTTTTAATTTTGAAACAGGAAGTTCTGTAATTTCGTGTTTACTTGTTTTACTTATAAACTGGCTATATACATGTGTGTCGTAGTACGTAAAAGTTAATAATTAAATTATTTGGTTAGGTTTTAAGTCGCACCAAACACTGTAAAGGTCATTTGGCGACTTTCCAGCTTTACTAATAAAGGAAGACCTTATGTGCTCCATGCTAATTACTTTAATTAAAGCGACCTTCGGCCTTAGCCTTTTATATTGATCGTTGATAAAATACATAAACAATGTATTCGTTTGTTTCATTTTCTGTGCATATATTGTATATTATTATATGCTTTTGTATGCGCAGCACGTGCGTGTTTTTCCCGCGTTACAACGAAAAAGGAAATAGTTGTAAAAGTATATATATATATATATATATATATATATATATATATATATATATATATATATATATATATATATATATATATATATATATATATATATATATATATATATATATATATATATATTTTAATTCATAACCTTTTCATATAATAAAACAAGTCTTGACTAGTTACCATTGGATATGGTGTGATATTCACCTGCAGAGTGTCTTATTGACCGACCTCGACTATCGCCTCGGTCAATATGTCATCTGCCGTTGAATATCAAATCATATTAAATGGCTCACTTGTCAATATTTGTATAGTTATTATATAGTAATAATAATGCACTTGATTCCTTTAACTATTTGATAGGGGATATATTGTTAAGCGTGTTCAGAATGGAAAATTAATCTCCAAATATTATTTCCAGTCTTATCATGTCAAAAGAGTTCAGTGGAGTCTCTGTAACTATGGCGATACAGAACTGAATAATTATCACAAATACAATACATTTCTATTTCAACTTTCTTTGGTACTCTTTTTTATAAAAGAGTCATTTCAAACGTCAAATTAAGAGAGAAGAAACACTTAGGAAGATTTAATACTACCTTTAACTCATGTTATGTCATTATGGTGAAATTAATGTACCGTAAAATTTGATAAATAGAACAATATCATTTAACAAACTATAACTTCAACCGCTAAAAATCAGATTAAATAATTCTCATCCTTTACAACGCAAATTATGTCCCAAAAAAGCATTGATTTAGATCTTTGAAATTTGATTACTTTAATAACGTCATTCTATTGTAGTTTATCTTTACATTAAATAGATTGTGCATGTATATGTTTAGAATACGTATATTAAAAGGTTAATGGTTCGGCCGTGGGCATCCTACAGTGGTGGTTTTATTTCCCAGGAGAAAATGTTACTGTTTAGAAATGGTCAATTACACAACGTGGTTGGAATAAGGCCGTGACTTTATTGTAGATTTTGGTTAAAACAAATATGAAATAAAATAAAAATTGTAATGAGAAAAATACGAAAGGAGCCTCCGAGCTAAATCCATGGATAGCTTCATAGCAAGGCATAGTGCTGTAAACTATGATAATAAGAAATATGATTGGGCTTGTTGCAAGGAGGTTAACCATTCAGAATGTAAATCGGCATGGCATTGTACAAGAGTAAAACAATAACAAAGCTAAAGAAAAAAATTGGGTCAAATTGCTCCCATTAAATCTCTTAACAATGAAATATTTCTTGATATCAAATTCCGAAATGCTCATTTTATTTTGCATGTTGAGGGCCACTTAATATTTCAAGAAATGCAATTCGTCACAAATGATTTGTTTATATTGAATGCACGTATTTGTGAAAGCGAAATCGAAAGATTGATACGATACGGTTGATGCCATGATTTTCATAAGAACATATGTATTTATTTGTTAATAATTTTCATAAATCCTGCGTCGAAATGAAGAAATGTTTATTGGATACGCGTTTGAACTGAATTTCACTGAAATATGCATCACTGAAAACCAATAAAAAACGAGAGAAGTACACTGTTTAATGAAATAAAATAAAGTTTTAAAACAAAATTAAATTTTTCCAAAAAATGAGATTGGAATCAAAGCAAATATTGCTAATATTGCTAATATAAATATACAATCCATAAAAGAGCCTGAGCTAAGATTTAGGTCGGTAGGACAAGGGGACTTAAATGTCTGTTTCAACAAAGCCGGGTGAAAGAGATATGTGCAAAGACAACGTGGCAATAAAGCGATATGTACAGATCTACACGTATCAAACACTGCTTATTCAACTTTTTACAAGCCAATTAAAGGCGTAGGCCGGCAAGTTGACATTTTGCAACCCTGTCCAAATAAAACACAGGCAAATTTATAGACAGTCAAATGGCCGACCGCACGGTCACAGGCCCCCTCTAACGGTTAAAGTGCGCACGCCCAATAACACAAATATAAAAGATAACCGACGAACACAAACGGTTAACTAGGAAAATGTGAGCATAAAGATACTGCTGCGGTATCATGATTTTTAGGATACTAATAATAACTAAAACCATCCTTCAACTTTTTTTTTTGTTAATTTGTTTGTTTTTTTGTTGGCTTACGATGCGGACATTTAAACGATTTGAAAAATAAAAGCAATCGTTTCTCCCGCCTTACCTTCATAAACGATACATATACGTTATAACATGTCGATTGATACAATGCAGTTACACAGATCAGTACCCACAAAACATGGAACACTTGTGCCTTTAAACAGACCAAATACACTGCAAACCGGGTCGTAGGTTCGAATCCTGTTTCATCAAAATTTGTTATCTTTTATATTCGATTTGTGTGTGTATGACGTAAAAGTTTAAAATTTTTGTTATTGAATTATCATTTGGCCTTATTCATATTATGTATTGCTTAATTCAATAACAAATATGTTGCTAGACAATTTCAAGAAAAAGAAAAGACCTCTTGGGAAAGAAAATAATTTAAAAGAAAGAGGGTAATAACCGAGGAAATGTGACGTCATAGTGATATGTCCACCATAGATATAATTATGTGAATAAGTATGAAACGTTCTTAGTATATCTTTGTTTTTTAATCAAATAATTCACCTTGACAACAGAATAAAAAAAAATAGAAAAGTGGTAGGCGATAGCTACTGAGCCTTATTACTTTGAAAGTTATATGCCCTTCCGAAATGCATTTAAGAAACTGAAGAAACGTAAAAATATGAGTTTTTTTAAAATATTTACAAGCTGGGGCCCTTAAAGAAAATAACGGTTTGCAAAAATGAATAAGAAATATAACCAGAAATAAATTGATAATCTTATTTTTGCGTTATTCCTAGCCCGATGAATAAAAAACGTTGTAACGCTTTTTAATTTTCGGTCATTTTTTCAATTAGAATGATTATATTGAAAACGGAGCTGGCTCATGATATAAAATCTTGCATGCAATAAGCAATCTTTCCTGACTCAATGGCAAAATATCAGTGATAGTTCTTAAACATAAAACATCTGATATACATGTATATACCAAAGAAATGTTGCGTAAGTTACAGATACACTGTGAAATGCATTTCTAACATCTCTGCCAAACTAAATTCAAATACACATTCTATAGAAGCAAAATTAATTAAAATAACATGAAATACTTACATACAAAATGTTGAACAGTTGAAACCAGCTGTGTTGAAGTTTAAAAAGCGATGTTACCACGTCAAATTTTACACTTGAGATGCGCAACCTTTACAGTGTAAGCACGAAAAACTCGTGCCTGCTAAACTTACGAAAACCAGTTTTATCGGAGAGAATATTTTACCTTTCACATGGATGAGCTTTTAGTCAAATACACAATATGCATCCGTCAAAAATCAATGTGATTTATTACAAAAAGCAAATAAATCTGCTTACTTTTTCAAAAAAAAAAATTCATTTTTCTCAAGTATGATTTTATTGACATACTTTGGCTCATCTGGAGGCATGCTTTATGGCTCCAATTAAAAGAATTTAATAGAATTTCAAATGGTAAGTCGATATACTGGTCATAATGTACGAATATCATGTAATTAATCATATGTGATGTAAGTTATGTTACTGCCATAACTAACGACAATTATCGAAACCAAGCATCGTTTCCCTATATGTCTGGTACCTCCTCCCTTTGTAGAGCAACTGTTATCATTCGACAAGCAAAGGTGTACACTGCGCATAAATGAAAGAGAGAGAAATAAAAATCTTGAATACCGAGTTTAACTCACTAATTAAACTGCCTCTGTATACTCTAATGCTTAATTGAAGTGTAAAATGATTTTTTTTCCTCAAAATTTGACAAATATCTTTGAACACTGATTTATAAATATCAGAATACGGTTTTGGGTGAAAGTAAAAAATTGCACAAATTGCCTTTTTCGTACGCTAAATTATCGCTTCAATGTAGTGAGTCATTTCTAAATGCCTTTTGTTTATTTATCGAACACTGTTTTTAAACGTGGCATTTTAATTGCAGGGCTTTTATAATAATGCCGTTGTATGATGACTTCGACAGTTCGACAACTACATTACAACAAATATTGAAAATATTGATTATACAACTGTACTTAAAAAAAAATAAAGTAGTTATCATTTTTAGTCGAAAATATTAATTATTTGAATTGTGTCACGTGTCAGTCAATAATTTAGTTTTCAGGCAGTTTTGACATGCAGGTGCATATTTTAATTAGTGACAACGGCAGTGCGTTTTTATGAATAAGTCATGCCTCTAAATATGATTAGTAGAGTCCTTCAAAATATTCACCATGGACATCTACACATTTTTCAATCCTCAGAATCCATTCCGAATTTTTTTTTGAACTGTTCTTTGGGCATACTGTTTATGCTGAATTGCGCTTCTAACGGCACTATGGGTTTCAAACCGGTGATCGCAGATGCGAGATTGATGTATGGAGTTAAACAAAAGTTACAGGAAAGATGTCAGGACTATAAGCGGGATGTCGCAAAACCTCAATGCTCTGTTTCTCTAAATAAGCCTGATCCGAGACTGACCGGTGCGCAGGTGCATTATCATGGAGTAATTTGATCCTGTACACCCCGGGCATTTGGTTCTTTGTAATATAATTATTAACTAC